GGCCCTATAGACAATTTCATGTCGGTCGGTGATCTTACGTAGAGGTAGAGTGCCCTCGGAGGGGTCGATAGTCTCTTGTAGAGGTAGACACCACTGGGGGTCGATGGCATCGTGTAGAAGTAGAGCCCCTGGGGGGTAGGTAGTCTCGTGTGGAGGTAGAGGTCCTGAGAGGTCGATGGCTTCACATTGACGTGCAATGATTTACATTGCTTATCTTCGGAGGCGATTTCGTATGTTAATTGATATCATATGCGTAGCTAACTCCTCCACAAAATTAGCAATTTTTCATGTGGCAACATCTATTGTACCTCTAGGTAGCAAACTAATCTTTTTTTACCTGATAGGCTAGGCTGACGTGTACGATAAACTTCTAGTTTGCACGGCCTTTTTGCAATTTTTGTTGGATTTTGCCATTTATACATTAATTTTTATCATTTTGTTAACAGAAAAATGTGTTGGCAAAAATATATTAGATAAAAAGACAATTTCTTTTTCAAATGACAGTAACATTCTGTCAAGACTGATTTGTCGTCTTCTTCTTTTTCGAAAATTCTCACACGGCCTTCTGAGAATATCGGTTTCCACTGGAAATGAATTTTTTAATAAAAAATGACTCCGAGTAGGAAAAAGCTCCACAATTTCCTGGAGAATAATACCATTGATTTCCTCTATTAATCACGTGCGTCTATTCTGCCAAGTGACAAGAATTTAGTCAAATGCTGAATAAGGAAATTAAACATGATCCTACACGAATTCCATTAACAACTTTGAACGAAATGTGAAAAGACCTTAATATGATTGGACATCATAGAAAAGCATGTGGTTGAAACTTGAATATACAATATGTACCCACCTGACCAAACAAAGACTAAAAAATTGAATTAGTTTGACGCTTGACGAGCGAATAAGTCGTGAATTGATATCGTCAATTTCTCTTCGTCATCTTCTTCAATATATCATCCAACAAAGGAATAATTGCAGCGTCGATCTCAAACATTCTGAAATCCATCTTATTGAACCCTGGTTATTACACTATCACTTAACACGTATATACAAAGAGAGGAAAAGAATAGTGCTACAAGTTGGTTTGCGAATCACGGGCTGGACGGTGACACGTCTAAGCTAGAATCGTGGGCATCTTTAGACTTGATGAACTTTAATTTGCCTTACGTTTTTTATTTTCTTTAAATTGATCTTGCATCTTGCATGTAAGTTTTGGAGGGAAGTACTGAAGCCCCAATCCTCTATATTTTTCATATTTATTGATAATAGGATCGAGAAATCCAAACCCTTCCAAGGAATCTCGGTGCATGCTTAAAAATCATGCTTAAGATTTATTAATGTTTTGTCTTAAAGAGGCGGGGGCAGGGCCCTAATTTTCTCTTACTAAGAACATCTACAAAATTGATCTTTAACGAGTTTTACCTAAAACCTGATAATAGTATCTAAGTATCTTTTCTTTTTCAAAAAATAACTACAAAATCACGTCTAAATCTATAAAGAAAATTCAAATCTTATTGATCCAATATGTTTAACGAGTTTTCGAGCTTTTGATGGTTTGTTTCTCTACTACATCAACTCGACATAGTCTTGTGAAATTGCATTGGAAATTCTCTAAATATGTCTTTCTTAAAACGGGAGTGGGCCTATAAGTCTTGAGATATAATTTGGGAAACATTTCTTCTCTTTAGCGAAGCTCTTATTTTTGAGCTAGAGCTGAGCCTTTAGGCCAGATAGATCACACTAAAACATGTGTTTTTTTAAATTCTTTTTTGACTGTATAAAATATGTATATTGCTAATTCTTGAGGGAGGGGAAGAGTATGGATAATTAGATTATTTCATTTGATATTTTTCAAGCTTTGAAGTTTTGATTTAGTGGGAGTTTATAGGACTTTTATACATCTTGTTGTCAGATAATTAAGAAGTTAGATTAAGACAGAAGAGTAAGATTAACTTCCAATTCATCTGTTTCATTTCCTTACTTCTTGAGAAGCTACACGTAAGTATGATTAGTGAGCGTGCAATATGATAGCAAGCTGGCAAGAATATTTTATGCATAGATATTGATTTGTATTTAGTCAGCTAAGAAAATGTTGATTTAGGAAAGTCGATAATCAAACTGATGATAAGCCAACCCTACTTTCTCATTCAGAGTATTAACAATTAATTTTAAATTAAAATTTTCGTATTTAAGGGATGGTTTCTGAATAATCACTATTGATTTTCAAATATGATGTATGATCATATATGATATTTTGTTTGGAGAAACCTAAAAATAGTTCTGACAACTGAAATTGTGGCTTATATCATCTGAACTCTTGCATGACATACATGAATTGTCTAGATGCCATTGCCAAAGTTAACTAGGAAATGTTCGAACACTAAAATAAAATTAGGCTTCACGAATCAAAGATTCAGCGACTAAGTTGGTTGCTATGAGACATTTTTGCCGGCCAAATGTTATAAATCTAGTGGCAATTGAAGACAAAAGTGTGGTCGTTGAATGCTGAAGCTTTAGCATGCATAGAGAATATCTAAAGTCTTTCACAGTTTAGCGAATACCCAGCGAGAAGTTTTGGTTACTAAAAATAGTCAGCAGCCATAAAATAGCTTTTACCAACCAATTATGTTTGGTCGCTGAAACCTTCCCTTTTTTTTTTGTATTGGAATTATATTTTCCTTTCGCTCCTGTTTGAACCTCATTATTCTCAAAACTCATTTTCAACTACACATTCTCTCATAAAATAATTTTACATGTAAATTCAAAATTTTTCTATTTTTTTTAACCATATATTCTCCAAAAACTCACTATTACAAAATATATTATCCCAAAAAAATGGAGCTTAAACGGGGGCATAATATATCCATTTTTCAGTCTAATCCCACAAAATAACTAGTATTTAGCTTCTTGATGCTTAATAGTGTAAGGATTTTTAATTAAAGATGGGCTTATATGTGTGACTAATTGTGTGTTAAATTATAAGCTATCGAATTCAGTTGAGCCCAATTAAAGTGATCTAATAAGGCTTCGATTTTGGACTTTAATGTATCCAGTTAAAGTATGGGTTTACATATGTGTAGAGATCGGGCCCAAATCCTAATTTTATGATGGGCCGAATTAGGTCAAAGGGCATCCCCATATAAATAGGTTATGGTCCCCAGATCACACGCAACGTATTATTCATTCTCTACTGCATCCCATCACATAGAGTAAAGGAGACTGCGTGTAGATTTGAAAGATCATACCACGAAATTCATATTGCATTAACCATGTCAGATTCGGGTATGCTTCCACTTTAATTCTTATATTTCTTGATGATTTAACATGAAAGATCCAGTAATTTAAAGTATTAAATTATCCAACAAGTGGTATCAGAGTCTTTTCATGTTGAATCATTGAGAATCAAAAGTTTTAGTTTGGTTTCTTGCAATATATTTTGAAATTTTCAGATTTAACAATTTTTTGGTTATATGTTTCGTTAAATTTGAAAATTTTTGCGGTATAATTTTGTTATTTTCGTTCGGATTAATTCAATTTAGAAAATTCAGATTTAAAATTTGGAATTTTTATAGTTTCGGATTAAGATTTAAAAAAAAAATTTACAAATTCTGGCCAGCGGCGCACCCGCCGCCGGCATCTGCAGCAGCGGCTGCTGCTGCATAATGCAGCAACATGCTGCGGTAGCAGCCAGGCGCTGCTGCCTAGTTGCAGCAGTGTCGGGCTGCTGCTCGTGCGGCACCGGCATGGGCCGGCGCTGCTGTTCTTGGCTACGCTGGCCGCCGACGCCGCCAGAAGGAAAGAAAAGAGAAAATTTTTAGGTTTTCTGTTTTTCTTTTTTTTGTTGGATTGGGGGTGGGGGCCTCTTATGTAAATTAGATGATTTGAGGTCCTTAGTTGCAATTAGGGTTAGGATTATAAAATTAAGGTTTCAGTCCCTAACCTTTAAGTTATATTGAGATTTGGGCCTTTAAGTTTCGAATTTAATAATTC